TGAGTTCCCTGGTCCAAAATAAGACTGCTGGACATGTTGAGAACTTCACATGACAACACAAAAGCTTTACAACACCTGCGTGCTTCGGCCAGCGCTTAACATCACACCATCACCATAGGCCAAACGAGTGCACAAGGCCGATTGACGGTAGCAATGAGGGCCCTGGATTTATGCAAGACGAGGCATCTGCCTGCATCAGACTGAGTAAATTTCCAACTTATGGTTTGTTGTCATGATTCAACATGAAAACACGGAGCCCCTGGAATTTGGTCAACGTTCAACCCTAAACCAAGGCTTTGGCTATTTACTTGTCTTGTATCGCACCAACAATTTTTTTTAAAAAAAAGGAGCCTTGGGTCCGAGGTGACGATTTGATCATCCAGATGCATGCAATGACAAGGGTGCACCCCCTTGTTGTGGCTCCTTACGGACAACCCAGGCAAATGTGGTGTCCGAACCCTAAACAAACGCCCCCACAGCTTGAATCGGTGCTGAGCGCTTCACATCGAGTTTGCGCTACATTTGGGTGGCTCTTGGACAGCCAAAAAAAGTGAGCTGCCTTTGGGTGCTTGTTCAAAACCATTCCAAAGACTCCTCAAAACACAGAACCACACCCACCACCCCCAACCACTGCTTGTTGGCCAGTACCAAGAGATATTGGGCATGGCAAAGAAAGAAGAAGAACAAAAACAAAAACGATAGGTTGGGACCCCCAACCACTGCTTGTTGGACAGTAGCTTAAGGGGATTTTCGACATGAAGGGAGGGGAGGGGAAACACAAAAACGCGTTGGGACCCGGGGTCCAAGTACAAAGGGGATTTTGGGCATGGTGAAAAAACACAAAGAAGAAAAACAAGTTGGGACCTGGGTGATGGACCCATTTCTCTCCCACCGCCTTGCTCTTTTTGGAGCCGCTGTCCACCTCCATGTCCGCCTGGGGCTCCTCGCCTGTCTCGCTTCCCATCGAAATGGGTCCAAGTCCGAGCGCGATTTTTTGGCACTCAGCTGGCTGTGGTTGTCAAAACTTGGCTGGAATTAGGACCCCAGCAAAAACACAAACATGTTTTGCCTGGTTAGTGGAAAGCAAAGGGGGCCCAAAGAAGCAACAAATCCAAGAAGGGGGGCTAATTTATAGGGAAGACAAATGGGCACACAAAATGGGTTAGCCTGGTAAATGGAACCATGGACTCAAACCTGCGGGGGAACTCCTGGTGGTTCAATTTTGGCTGATACCCAAATGGGTCCGTCGTTGGTTGATTTGGTAGCCCCCATTAGATGGGGTTTTACAGGAACCCCAAGAGGAAAAATCACCATTTTGAGGAGAAACACCCCAAATGGTCCAAACCCAAAAAGTGGTTGCAGTCCAACACATCTGCCCAAAGGATGAACCAAACATGGAAAACCATCAGGTTAATGGTCGGATCTTTCAAAGGGAACCCAGTAAGACGAATTGGAGGGTGTTCCTTCAGAGACGAAGGGACTTGATGGTTTGGCCCATATTCTTTGAATAACCTCCACGGTGGTTTGCCCGCGGAGTTGAACCAGGGCCTGGTTGAAACCAATTTTGGCTCAACCTTCTGTAGCTTTTGGCATTTGCTCAGAAACCTTTCAATTTCTCGGGTGGGAAACCCACCCTTGAGGGTCTCAGACTTGGAGGTCTCAACGGGACCCAACCATTCGGTTCACTTCACGAGTGGATGGCCCGAAAACCGTCGAGTGAGTTGCAGTCCATGAACTTCTCTGCACTGCGAGTGGGTTTTGGTTTCTTCTCCTCGCTTCCTGTGTGGATTGGCCAAAACGCCCCAGAACTTTCGGTTTACCAAACCCAACAAAAACGACTAAAGTTCACAAACCTCAGGAAGTGAGTCTCTTTCAAGGAGCATCTCCTCCTTCGAAAGATGGGGCTGGCTGAAGACTCCAAACGGACCCGACACCGCAGTTGCTTGGAGGTGTGTCATTTTTAGGGACCCTTCCCCGGAAAAAAAGGTGGCTTTCCTTTCGGTGTCCCTCTAACACCATCCAAACAAGGGTACCCTCGCAAAGAGACACACTGATTTGCTTCCCGGTTGAAAGGAAAACCTTGGGCAATCAAAATCGGGGAACACCCAAAACGTGGTGAATTCCGGTGGTTTCCCTTTTGACCTATGGCTTCCCAGTGGTCTTCTTCTGGAAGGTTTCCGCATTTGTGTACCTTCTGAACCACGGTTTGTGTCATGGTTTCCCAACGGCTTCTCTATGTTGCCCTTATCTTCCAATCTCTTCCCATGGTTTCCATTTCGACCTCTGATTTTCCCCTTGGTGTTCTTCTGCCCTCAAGCTTTCAGTTTCCGATGTTTGTTTCTGGGTCCTTCGGTAGAGAGGTTAGAATAAGGGTACCAACCTTTTTTTCTGTAGTCTATTTTAGTAGGGGAACCCTCCCAACCAAAAAAGCAAGGGTGAGAAAGGGCACCTAGCTGGGGGACCTAGTGTTTGTCTCCGGTGGCTTTTCCCATGGTTCTAGTAGTAGCTTCCCCATCCTTTCCAGGGATCCTTCTTTCTAGAAAACCGCCCAAAACCCTGGGGAAATAGCTGCTTCTTGAAAAGAACGATGGCTGAAATGAATGGAAAAGGAATCAAGCCCTAGAAAAATACGCACGCCCCCTCCACAAATCCTCCTGTCCACTTCAACTTTGGTGAGCTTCACAAAGACCCCCCCCTCCAACCCCCCCCCCCCCCCCACAAAAGAAAAACAAACCAACGACAAGGCAATGAGTTTCACGGCGTCTCTCACACTCCTCGCTTCGCGACTCCCCCGGCCTTCCAACTCCGCGCGCACCTTCTCCAACTTGGCCACCACCGCATTCTGCATCTCTTCCCGGAGCTCTGAGCGCCTACCGAAAACGCGAGCGACAAAAAGCAGTTTTGTTTCAATATTATACGTTGTTTTATTATTATTGTTGCTTTTTTTTAGTGTGTGTTTCCTTTTTAAGGAAAAAAAGAGAAACCAAGAATAAGCAGGCGCAAAAAAGAAAAGGAGAGCGTTGACACCTTTCGGTAAAACGCTGTTGGGTATAGGATCTTTCGACTGCAACACCTTTTGGGACACCTTTTGGCCACTGTTGAGTAAACTGTTTGGGCATACATCAATATGTCTTGTTTGCAGGTTGTACAAGCTTTTGTGGGGGCAAATAGGCATCAAGCTAGACGTGCGGAAAACCTTTTTGTTGAGGGGTCCCTTTATTTGTGTTTCCACAAACAAAAAAAGTCAAGAGGGAAACCCCGTTCGGGTCGTTCGGGGTGTGAAATCCGACCCAAGTTGCACCTGTGGAGCCTGCAAAGGTAACGACAAAACAGACAAAAAAAAGCAGCCACGGTGACAGTGCTTCCATTTACCTGTATAGTAGATAAGCGTACAAACCAGGAGGAAGTTGGCTGGTTGCTAGTCTAGGTGCTTGAGTAGAGAGGTTAGAATAAGGGTACCAACTTTTTTCTGTAGTGTATTTTAGTAGGGGAACCCTCACCCAAAAAAGCAAGGGTGAGAAAGGGCACCAAAGGGTGAAAGGCCACTAATTACTGGGGGACCTAGTAGTGGCAACTGGGATCCACTGGGGCACACAAACAAGTGCAACAAGCAACACAGAAGGCAAGCAAAGCACACCAAAACACAGCCCAGCCACCAGAAACGGCAGCCACCGCAGGCCGCACGTGCTGACAAAGTGCAACACATGCCAGGAACGCCAAAGTTTTCCGGTTGGACTTCTTGTCTGTAGCAAGGGTCAACCAAGGAGAAAAGGGTCGAGCAGTTCGAAGCCTTGGGGCAAATGGTTGGGGGACGCTGACTGAAACATCTTACACTCTCCGGCCTTGCGTGGCGTGCTTCGGTCTTCTTGGCATGCTTCTCTTCATCCTGGATCACCCGCTTGATGTGGTTCTCCCCTCAGAAAACCGAAAATCAAACGCGCGGTTGCGAGTCGGACAGGCGGTTTGATCCTTTGTTGGTAGTTGGGATTCAAGGGAAGCCTCTCCCCGCAAAAAAAAAAAAACAAATTACAGGTCTAAGAGGCCTTTGTGTCACAAAGGCCAGATGCCGAGTCACGTGTCACCCGGACCTTCTTCCTCGCCATCGAAGTTCGCACTCCGCCCCTCTCCAGTCTTATGCTGCTGAAGAGCCGAAGCGGCGCTCAAGCCGGACGAAGGAACTCCAATCTCCAAACTTTCAGCGGATGATTTGGCACACATTCTTTGGTGGTTTTGACTCATGTGTGAGTGGCTGGGCACAAACACATCATTAGTTTTCTTCACAGCTAGCATGGGCAACCAAACCCAAAAAGTGACTTGACATGGAGTTTGGTGTCTGGTTGTTTGAGGGTACGATTCTTGGACTTCCGATTGGAGACCCATATGAAAAACTGGATTTCCCAAAATGGGGTCCCCCATTTTTTGACACATACCCCATTTGTTGATCATTGATGCTAAAGCAAGTTCAAAGAGTGACCTTATGGCTGTCGCGGGGAAAGAGCATCGAAAAGGGTAACATGTGGTGGAATTGATTCCCCCCTAATAGCTGACTTGAATTATGAGCCTTCCCCTGTTTGCCTACCAAATGGAAGATTGAAGGGCCCCCCTTAAGTCAAATGGTTGTGGACAAATTGCTACGCAGCAATTCACAAGTCAGAAATCAGGAATGCCCGAGTCAGCATTTGACCTCGTTGTGGGCCAGGACCCTATGTCAGTATATGACGACCCTCCAAAAACAAACATGTCAGGGTCCTTCCTTGTTGTTTTGGGCGGCTTAGGACTGTTGGACCCCCTACCAACTTTCAGCTTCCCCCGAATTGGTGGTTTGCAGCCCGTTTACCCTCCCGGGCTCAAATTCAAATCCAAATCCACCCCTCCTAACCGCGGAACCATATGGACAAAACTGAAAGCCCCCAACCTGACGGGTTTGCTGAAACTTGGGAATCCATCCAGACCCCAAAGGTAGGAAACGGACACAGACTTTCGCTTTTTCTGGGGCCCGCCTCCCTCTCCTGCGTGCAGCTCTCAATCTTCATGCACGCCGCATTCAGCTTCTCCAAATCCTGCAAACGTGGTGTGTCTGTTGTTAGTGGACCCCCCACCAAAAACATGGGTGGGGTATCTTTGTGCTTCGCTTTGGAATCACCACCGACATGGAGAAACAAGCAAACCGCCGTCAGAAAGAGACACACCCATGCAGCCAATTGTCCCGGGCGTCCACGGGTGTAGGGAAGGGATCCCGGAAGCGTGGAACCCCAAAGAGTCCCAACCCCAAACGGTGAGGTTCGTGCACCCTGGTGTCATGGGGGCTGGGGGGGAGGGAGGGGGAGGGAGCCCAAATGAGCCCTCACTAAGCCCTTAATAAGGCCTTATTTATAGCTTATTTGGGCTCCCCCCCCCTTCCTCCCTCCCCCCCAGCCCCCATGATGGTGACAGCGAACCAAGTCTTCGGCGAACCTCCCAGTTCAAGCCCTTGGCGGTGACTGAATTAGAGAGCGATGGATGAACAGGATGGGTAACCAATCCGTATGTGACAAGTCGAGCAGTCCATTTGTGGCTGCTTACTAGAGCACAACATGCACATTGATACCAGAGATGTCGTGCTATTTTCCGGAAGCTGGTGTCAAACATTTCTCATGCGCTGGGCTGTGTCTTCCCCTGTGTAGTTGTCCAACTCAGCGCTGAAAAGGGTTGATGGGCCTAAACCATCCTCAAGACAATCAGCTCTTCCGGTGGCGCACACGGAAGAGCCCCTGCCAACCACGTGAATGAGGTGCAGTCGTCTGGGGGTGAACTGTTGACAAGCTTTTACCTGAGATAATCCTCATGCAAATCACCGTCTTTTCATTAGCAAACTCTAGAAAGTGACCCCTTTTTGGATGGC